TAAGGTAATTAGTCACATGCCCGCCGATTTTTACTATAAAATTTGTACCCTTTAACTGCGAACTACTAATTAAATATTAAAAAAAATAAATTATAACTAAATTTATGCTATTTTTAAACTAAAATTATTATACGAACTCTACAGCTTAAGGGATACACATTAAGACATTGCTTTATATTAGAAATATACAATCATTGCAGTTGTTATATAATTTTATCTTAACTTAGTACAAGTTATAATAGTATATTTTCTTTTTATTTCAATTTTTAGGTTGCTTACTGCTTCTTAATAAAGGTAGTTCTCTTCTCTGTCAGCTCTCAGGCTTTTTTTTTGTTTTTTTTTTTTTGTACTTTTTTGTTTTTCTTTTTGTTTTTCTTTAAATTTTCTTTTTTGTTTAATTTATTTTTAAATATAGATTTCTTTTTTTTTATTAATAGGTGGTTTTTATTAGTATAAAATCATCTATTTAACTTATATACAGGTTGATGTGATAGGTTGCTGATGAGCATGTTTTATCACAGCTATAAGATGTCAGGTTTGCAATTTTTAACTAAAACTTGTTTAGTTTAGGAATGGTTTACTATTACTAATTTGAATAAATAAAGTTGCTTGTATTTAAGCTCTGACAAGACTATCAAATAGCTAAAAAAAAAAAAAAAATTTTTCTTAAATTAATAAATAAAAAAAAAAGTTTTTTTTTAAAAAAAAATCTATTTTAAGCATTTTTAAAAAAAGTATAAAGTTTTATAAATTTGTACTATGCAAGTGCATATGATAAACATATAGGCTACCATCAATAGAAATTAGGCAGATCAACATTTTAAAAAAAATCTATATCTTATCTTTTATCTTAATAATTTAATATTTAAAAAAAAGATTAAGTTCTAAGCCTTTTTTTGAATGTTAAATCATCAAGATATTTTCAAAATCTATCAAGATATAAGCTGTGAAAGTTGAGATATAGATTTTTTTTAAAATGTTAATCTGCCTGATTTCTATTGATGGCAGTCCATATAAAACTATTGCAGTAGAAAGGGCTAAAACTCGGAAATATATAATTTTGAGAAAATCATGTTTACTTTTTTAGGCTGATCCAGGTTAATCAAAATTATGCGATTTGATAAAGTTTTTTTGATTTTTTATTATGCAAACCAATTTCCATTTTTAATTAAAAAGTATAGCCCACCTCAAGATTAATCAGAATCTTAAAAAAACTTAAGTTTGATTTTTAGAGAGTTTGGGCCCTTTCTACTGCAACAGCCTCATATGGTCAAATTTTGAGCAAAATTGAATCACTAGTTGTTGAAAAATTAGTCATTAAAGTTAGACAATAGTTTTTTTTACTATATAATTATATTTTTATTAATCCGAATACTAATCACTTTTAATAGATTAAAAATATTGAAAATTATTTTGTAAAAAAAAAAGTTTACTAATAACTATTTAAGGTACAAACCTTTTTGCACCGGACCATATCAATTAAATGGGTGTATCCCCTCAGCTCCTTGGCGTGAAATTGTCCTGTCACAATCTTGCCTGTTGCTCATATCCGATGCTATTCAAGAAAATGATAATTACCGAGTGAGTTAATTATTGAAAGCACCTTTATACGTAAACGAAAAAAATTATGCCGGAGCGAAAATTTAAATCAATTTGACAATAAGGGCTGAAAATATTCCACAGACAAGCGTTGACAAGACGGTCAGCAATATCTGGTGATAACCTTGAATACATAATTGACAATTATGTTTAATATAGAGTCAAAGCATGATATAGAAAATTGAATATATTTTTGCAAGGACGGCAAACTTTTAATCCACAACCTTGGTAATAGAGCCTTAGTTTATGAAAGAATCAAAAATCCAAGTTAGCATATATTTAAATGCAGTTTTATAACACGATCCCTACTGGTTTTTACCTTCGCATAGCCTTTCAAATTCCTAATTTGCTTTATTTTTATTTTTATTTATTTATTTATTTTATTTATTTTTTTTTTTGCGAGAAACTTGTTCAGAAAATGCTAATTTAAACGAGGCGATTTAAATTATGATTAAACAGAAGTAATTCAGACTTCGTCCGTGAAGTATGTATCCATTGCTTTGCGAAATAGGAATTTAAATGTTAATCGGTCCCGCAGTAATTATTTGAGTACTTGTAACTAGCTCCAGTAGGTTATAGAAAAGTTATTTTTCTATAATATTTTCTAATAGAAGTTTATCGGGACCAGAGAAAATTTAGCTAATTGGTCCCTATATAGTTAAAATTACTGCGGGCTGCGTGACTGCATTGGCCAATATAAATCTCGGCTGCGCATAAATTTACCATCAGTATTTTAAAAGACGATTTATAATAAATTTTTTTTTTTTGCTGAAATCTCATCCAAATATAGTTTTACGCTTTTAGTTATGACCGATCCTGAGAACAAGCCTACCGTCACGGAGTCTTCAAAGGGAACCGAAGAGGTATATGATCGATGCGCTCATTGTCTGTCATGGTTTCAAAAGCACCTTTCTAACGCTTAAAATATGCATTCGTACAGGAGGATGTACCTCCAGCTTCGCCCGACGTTCATTTTGAACCAATTATCAAGTTAGACGAAGTAGAGGTTAAAACGCTTGAAGAGGATGAAGACGTACTGTTTAAAATGTGAGTTTGATTAGAATAGGAGCCCAGGAATACTTTAGTTTATATGTATATTTGGATGCGTTCACAAGTGACGAAAATAAACTATACTAGACAAATTACAACAGCAAATTCACTTGCAATAAACTGCCGTTATGCGGCATGGTAATGAATTGCAAGTTCGCTAAACTGTTGGAAATTAAACTGGAAGAAATTCTGTAGGAAAGACATCACATGTTTGATTTCCTTTACTCTACGAGCTTCCAAACACATTTATTTGAATTGCTTAAGCATACATTATGAATTGGCATATATCATCAAATCATTTATTAACATGATAGATATATATATATATTTTCCTTAAAGCTAATAATAAATGGCCATTTGTAGGCGTGCTAAACTATTCCGATTTGACAAACCTTTGAAGGAATGGAAAGAACGTGGCACCGGCGATGTTCGTTTTCTTCAGCATAAAGAAACAAAAAAGATTCGTCTGGTAATGCGGCGGGATAAAACTCATAAAGTTTGTGCCAACCATTACAGTGAGTCTAACCTAATTGTGCTGGCGTAAATACCTGTTTCAATTTCGCTTCTATCAAATGATCTTATTTTGATATTGTTGCTTTTGATTTTTTCTCCAATTAAAATCTTCGTAGTCACTTCCGAAATGCAGCTTTCTCCAAATGTTGGATCAGATCGTTCATGGGTGTGGAATGTAACTGCTGATATTTCTGATGGTGAACCAAAAGCAGAGACTTTGGCAATCCGATTTGCTAATACAGAAAGTATGTATATGAACTGCATAAACTAATCGTTCGAATAAATATTTAAAACGTTCATTTTATATTCAAATTAGATGCCAATGTCTTCAAAGAAAAGTTCGTTGAAGTACAAAAGATGAATCTCGAGCTTACTAAAAAAGGACAAGAACAAGTCAAAGAACAAGACAAAGAAAAAGTAGATGTTAAAAATGAGGAAAAGGATCCTGAATGAACTATACTACTTTCACTATCATACTTATTTACAGTCGACCGAACCTCTATATACCGAACTCTGCCTATAAACGAACTAAAAGGTTCAGAACAAATAATTACATTTTATTACATTGGATATACCAACTTTAATATATAATAAATTTGCTATCCGCGTCCGAGCCTAATTGGGTCAGTATATATATAGCCCATCATAATATATATATTTATATAACGAACATTCATCTAGCTAGATAAACGATTAGAATCTAATTATATAAGATCGCATAAAGCTTAATAATAAAAAAGTTGGCTAGTCATGGTAAAAAAATGTCCTGAGCACCCAAGATATTCAACAGTAATGTCGCTTTAAATTCTTGACGTACCATAGTAAAATTCCGCAAGAAACATTTTTGTTAGGCCGCAAAAGGTAGTTACTATCGATTCTTTGATGCAATTCGTTAGAAATTTTCGTGAACCAAAATGTTACACTGATTTCGCGGCAATGCCTATCCTATATGTAATACTGTAATAAGTGAAAAATAATAAAAATAGATCGTAAGCTATGCGTAAATAACTGACCCCAAAGCTAGATAAAGAAGTCTAAATTAAAAGAAATTGATAACGCGTTTAGAGTTCGAGATATATGTATAATATGTTAAAATTAAAGATAGATTAAACTTATGATAATAAATCATTTATTGTAAACTTTACAAAATATATAAGGGAGAGTTGGGTATTCTGGCGGGTGGGTAATTTGGAGCATTTATATCCATTAAACAGCACTCAGAATCAAATTATATTAGTACCATTCGATTCATCTCAATGGACGATTCAAATTGTATAAAAATCGCATGTTTCTAATTATTGAACTACAAAATAAATGATATTATGGTTCACGAATTATCATACAGGGCCCAGGTCGGAATGCTAACCCTAACGCCGACTAGAAATTTTGAAAATTGCTCTGTAAAATTTTATATATAATATAAAAAAATTTTTTATGTAACAATAATATTTAAACTACTCTATAAATAATTCAATTAAATTATATAATATAGATCAATTTTTTTGATTTTACAAAAGTTGATTAGTAAAGATATTTTTTAAAAAAAGATTATTCTAAGTTATATATATATAAATAATTTATATATAATAATTGAATTTTTAACAAATTTACTTGATTTTAGAAATAGCAAAAACCTCTAAATTTATACAGATCAATTATGATCTATATTAAGGGTCCTGTGTAGAATCTAGAGTTCTTCTTTAGTATAGCACTCTAATCTTAATTTAACTTTAATATAAACTATAAACCTCACCCTAACCCTAACTATTCCAAATTTGCTTAAATTAAATTATATAGTTATTTATTTATATTATAATTCTATATTGCCTAGTTATACTAAAGATCAACTAAATTTAATATTTGTAGTCAATCTTTATTTATCAATTTGACTAAGTTAATATTTAAAATTCAGCTTAGCCAGCTAAGTTAGAGTAGATAAATAACAAATTTTGTTATAATCTTGCTTGTATTTTATATTTATTGATTTTTTTTTCAGAATTTTTTAGTTTTTACTCTTATATTAGCAAATTTATAAGACCATAATATTTTGTAATAATTTACAAAATATAAAAAAGCTGTAATATTATGTAAGAAATTTTGAAATATTATGAAATTTCAAATTACGAAATATTATATAAGATATTTTAAAATATTTTGAAATATCTTACATAATATTATAGCTATTTTATATTAATAGCCATATGATTTGTCACACAGATCATGTGTATAAAATTTTTAATTATAAGTCAAATGATTGATACACCTAAATTTCATAAGTAAATTTTAAGTAAATTTTGCTTTTTTGGCTTATTTAGCAAAAAGAAGCTGTTAGTTTAAGATTTAAGTCTGAGTTTGTAAATTCTCTAGCATTTGAAGCTTCTTCTTATTAAATTTTAAAGGTGGTTTATAATAAACCCTTAAATAATCTAGGCCATGAAGTTAGCCAATTTTTTGACGATTTTTACTATTTTTTATAAGTAATATACATCATTTTAACAAAATTGGTAATTAGATTCGTCAATTTAGTTGATAGTCCTAATTACTAATTTTGGTAAAATAATATATATTACTTATAAACAAATAGTAAAAATCGTCAAAAAATTGGCTAACTACATGGTCTAAATTTTTTTTTTTTTTTTCCAATATTAAAGTGACCTCTTTGGCTGAGAAACGTTTTATTAGATAGTTATGTTTTTTAATTACAGTAAGGGTACATATAGCTACACGTGCACCTTTTGAGTGCCTAATTTAAGTAGTCCGCCCGAAGGTTCTAC